CCGGGGCAGGAGCTGCGGGCCCCCAGGCTGCTGCTCTGGCTGAGGAACACCCCCCCCACCCCCACCCCCAACAACGACGACGACCAAAGAGCACCTCCCCCCCTGCCCCCCTGCCCCGGCACCTACCTGGACTCGCACCTGCTCCTCCTCCTGGGTGGAAAACTCGACGCGGCAGTGGGGAGGGACGTCCATCCCGGCCACTATCTCAGCGACCCTCTGCTGCAGGGCCCCGCACTCGTCGGCGGACAGGAACCCCTCCAGCACCAGGTATCCATCCTCCTGGAACTGCAGGCGGGAGGGAGACTCAGGCTCCCCCCGGCCCTCCGACTCTCTCCGTGAGCACCGTGAAGGCAGGACCGAGTGGCCGGCTCATTGCTCCGGCCCCCACCCTGGCCAGCGTCTGGCGCCCAGTGACGAGCGATCAGTATTGGCTGGCATGACAAGAAGAGGAAGGAGAAGGCAAGGGGTCTTCCCCTTCCCCTCCAGTGGGCTTGGGTCACACGGGAATACAACCCTGTTCATTTATTCAACTAAAACTGATGGAGCATTTGCTATGTACCAGACGCGGTTCTAGGAGCTGGAGATTAGTAATGAGCGAGCCAGCCAGGATGCCTGCCCCCCCAGGAGCGGACGGTCTAGCAAAGGAGCATGGCAGGGACCAACCAGCCCACGGGGCAGCAAACTGTCACTGCAAACTGTCAGCACTGCTGAGCGCGAGGCGGGAGAGGGCAGTGCCGGAGCTGGAGGAAGGAGAGTGTAATGTGAACCAGATGGGGAGGACAGGAGGTCTCAGGGCGGCAGCCCCGAGGAAGTGACATTTAAAGGGGACTAGCAGGATGCGTGAAGCCCCTGAGCTCAAGAGAAACAGCAGTCAGGACCCGACGGAGCAGAGCGAGGGACAGCGTGCAAGGAAGGTGCGAGGGTGGCAGGGGCCAGGCTGTGCAAGCACCTGGGCCTTGTCCTGAGCGCACGCAGTGGGGAGTTAACGCCCATGGCTTACTCTGAGGTGCGTCCAGTCCTCTTACTCTGAGGCCGCTAAGGGAAGAATAGTTGCATGTTTGCGTGTAGATATGAATAAAGTCTTAACCTGAACACGGGCATTGAAAGTCACCCCCTGAACCCACTGTGAAGTGCCCAATTTCCCATTGCTGACCCCCCACCTTCCATCCTCCACGGATGTCAGTTCTGCCTCCCACGCACACACGGATGCGGGGACACTCAGGACCGCCGACCATGGCCGCTTCAGCCTCTGGGCAGCGCTGCAGGACAGAAACTTAATCCCCGACTCAGCATCAAGCCGAAACTGCCCCCTTGGGAGCCGGGTCACCCACAGCTAACAGTGCATAGCCACGATCCCTCCCGTGAACACGCAGCTGCCATTCTTGAGATAAGATGCTGGAGGATTAGCAAATCGGGGGAGCAAAGGTGCGTGTATGGGCGTGTTCACTGAGGCTTGTTTAATGACAGCGATAAATCAGAAAGAACCTAAACACTCAGCCCAGGGGATCTGTCCAACAAAGTACCGTCTGTCCGGAACACAACGCAGCTGAAAAACATCATGTGGTAAAAAAAACATTTACTGACATGGGAATGTGTTCCTGATGGGGGAAAAAAAAACCCAAATGCAAATCAGGATCCTAGCCAAGCACTCCATAGGCAGAAAGCTGTAGAAAGATTCTACAGCTGTATACCAAAATATTGCATCAGCGTAAGAACGCATGGGTGCTTTTACATTTTCTTCTTTGAGCTTTCCTGTATTTTTCTGCGTTTTTCTTGTGTCATCAGGAACAAACGACAAGGGTCCTGTAATTTAAAAGACTTTGTCCCTCTAATTCCCCTGAGTAAGGCTTTTGTGTTGCAACACTCACGGGACCCAAGTGCTGGAGCCAGGCTCTGGGAGAAGACAGGCCCCGGCTGGCCCCGCCCCTCCGTCGCAGGCCCCGATCCGGGTGGGGACTGACCGCTCTGGGGGGCTTTACTGTGGGTTTTGGTCACAGACCCACCCATTCCCATCCCACCCCGTCCTGTGGTTGGACGCCCCAGGCTGTGTGCGCAGAAGTTAGAGATCCTGGTTGGGACCGACTGCCCTGGCTTCAGTTTTTTTCTGAAAAAACGGCAGGGGGGTGGGTTGAGTTCACGGGGCTGGGGAGGTCTTTCCGTCCCGGCCAGAGCGCCCGCCCACTCTCACCTGACCCTCCCTGCTCCCTACCTTCCGAAGCTGCTCATGGCTCAGGCCAGCCATGGGGAGGAAGCTGGGCGGTCGGGTGGCTCCCGGGGCTGTGCTCCGGCTGCCGCGGGAAAGTCAGGAGGGCAGAGTGCAGAGCGCCTGGGAGGCCCGGAAGGACTTATCTGTTCCCACCCAGAGCAACCCAAGCCCCGCCCAGCCCGGCCCTGCCTGGGCTCCCTGCAGGCTGGGTCCATTTTTTTCAGGCCCCCTCTGACTTCCGTGCCTGGGGGCGCCTCTGCCCCAGGCCCAGCCCCATACCCTGGGCCGACCTTCCCAGCGAACCAGGCTGAGCCCTTCCTGACCTTCTTCATGCCTCTCCCTGCTCCTCCCTGGGGGCGGGGGCTGGCTGCTTACTGGGGATCCGGGAGCTGAATTCCTGAAGCATCTGGGCGAGGAGGCTCGGCAGACAAGAGGGCACCACTGCTATTTGTGCCCCGAGTCCCGGGTCACAGCATCATCTGGGGGAGGGGGGGACACTGCAGGGGCGCCTGGGGCACAGGCACACCAGCCCAGCCCTCAGGGCTTTGCACTGACAAGGTAAAGGACGTCTTCAGGGAACTGTCTGGGCCCCTCCCAGCAATGAAACTCCAGGTCCTGGCAGGGTTATGGGAGTGTGCTGATCAGTCCGCAGGTCACAGAAAGCAGAAGGAAGAGCTTAGGAGGAAGGGGTTAGGGAGCGGGTGCCTGGGTCTTCAGCATGAAGGAGAGAGAGCCACAGTTCCTGGTCCCCACCCCCAGGCCCAAGAGGTTTGGTGTCTGGAGTTAGGGGGTGCGGAACAGCACATGCACACACACACGCCCACCCACCCTTCTAAGCCAGCCCCGCGAGGCCGCAGACAGGCCATTCTGGCTTCAACTTCTGGGAACCGGCCCCTGGCCTTCCCCGAAATGACGCTGTCTGAATGGCGAGGCGACAGAGTGTCTCAGGAGTGCAGGAACACAGCTAGCTCAGCCCTCGGGAGGGGAGCCTTGGCCCGGAGTCAAACTGTTTTTTTGGGCCACTGCTCTGGGAGCGGCTGCTTGGCCCCAGCTTCCCCGGGAGGGTTAGGGGACTAGAGGTTCGCAGGGTTAGGCCAGGAGAGGTGGAAGACAGAACCATGTGGGGAGCAGCCGGGAATCACTGCGTGCTTGCTGTCCCGGCCCCCTCTGGCGCGGCCACCCAACGAACACAGAGACACGTGCCAGCAGCAGGGCGAGGGTCCATCACGCTGGACAGACAGCCCCCTTGGGAACTGCACCACGGGCTTGGAGTGGAGGCTCAGGGAGAGACTGGGCTCTGCCCACACCCGGCCTCGCTTTCCCCATCTGTAATTTGGAGATAACGGAAGTATCTCTTATGGGGAAGGTGGATGCTTTACTTCTAATTAAGAGCTTGGCACAGGGCCTGGCACTGGGTGAATGCCTTACCAACCCTTCACCGAAAACTAGCAGAAGCTGTGCCGCGTAGAATGTGAGGGTATTTTATTTTTCCAAGCTGCTGTTACAATCAGGGAAAAGACCACCGCTGTGGTTTTCCGGGGAGAATACTGGGGGAAGGGGCGGGAGGGGGAGGAGCTGGGCCTTCGGCAATTGGTTCATTTATTTTGCTCATGCTTCGAGAAGTGGGTGGGTGGTGTTTGCTCTTTCCAAAAGCTAACCAGCTCCAGACCCAATACTCCTGCGCTGGATGCCGGGCAGCCCCAAGGCTGGGGTGGGGGCAGGCGTGGGCAGTGGTAGGGAGCAGCCAGACCAGATCTCATCAGAGCGGGGTCCAGGCTCAGCTGCTCCCCGCCAGGAAGCCCATGTCAGGGGCGGAGAGGAGGAAGGTCCTGGCTTAGTCATGAGGGCACCTACAGGGGTCAGAGTCCCTAGAGCAAGGACGGGCTCTAGCCTGTCCCAGAGGTGGTGCCCAAGCAGCAGATAAGGCCTCGTCACTGAGGCCAAGATCAGACACGATGCCCTTTCTTCCTTACCAAGAGACGGCTGCCCCCGGGCCCCAGTGTCAACCCCGTGACACTGGGTGACCCCAGTGTCACCCCAGTGTCAACTCGTTTCCCCCTGGAGCCTCACTGGTCCAGGAGGAAAATGCCCTTTACTGGGTACGAGGATCCAGGCCCTCCGCTGAAAACCCCGCCCACCCGCATAGTTACCAAGAGTAAGCATCAGAATGACCTTGCAAGGCTGCCAGCACCACCCTGACTTTTACAAATGAGGAAACTGAGGCCACTGAGGCCACACATCAAAGCCACACAGCTAGGATCTGAGGGCGGCTCTGCCCATCTCCCCGAGCTTCTGCCCTTGACCCCAGCACCTTCAGTAGGCTCCCAAAGGGGCCGGGAGCAGGTCAGGCCCGCCCAGGGTCACTCCAGCCCCACCCACGCAGAGCCCTGGGGCCTGGCTACTGGGATTACAGGAACCGAGGAGGGCAGAGGGAGGAGGTTCCCACTGCGCAGATGGGGCTGTGGAGGCCACGGCAGGAAAGGGTCTGCCCAGCTCCACGCAGGGATGGCCGAGCCGGGACGGGGGCCAGGGAGTATGGGCTCCCATCCCAGTGCCCCCCCCCCGCCCCAACCCCTCCCAGCTCACGAGGGCCGTGGGACCCCCTGGCCACGCCCGACACGCAGCAGGCGCTCTTTCCGGCTCAGTCCACGGGGCGGTGAGAGGTGCGGCTCACTATCTTGTCGGTGCCCGATAAACGATTCCTCAACGAACCCGCCCACAGGGCCCGGTGGGCCTCAGAGCGCCGAGGGGAGCCCCCCCCCCGCCCCCGCCCCATGCAGACCCCAGAGACGACTTTCTGTGGCAGGTTTATTTGATGCTCGAGTCTACAGGTTCGGACCCACACGTAACGGACTGCTTCACGGCCGCCAGGGGCTAGTGTGCGCGATTTCTGAGGGTCACATTGGATGACACGCCGCAGAGAACACGGAAGGACGAGTGGACAAAATCATGAAGACGAGAGACGCTAAAACGTGCCTTAGTGTGCAAGTGGCTGACCTAAGGCGGGGACCCGGGTGACTGGTCTGAAGCGCGGTGGCTTCTCACCACCAGGCGCCGGGGACGGAGACCGGAGCCCAGACCCGGGGCGGCCCGCTTCCCCAGGGCCCGCCTCCCCACCGGCGGCCCCGCCTCCCGCCGCGGGCTCTGAGGGACCCCGGGGTGACCCGGCGGATGAGGGCAGCTGGGGACACAGGGGGTGGGAGAGCAGAGTCCAGGCGAGGCAGCTCCTCTTGGCTCCTTAACACTGTGACGAGGGACAGGGAGGACAGCGCTGCTTGCCCGGGGACTGGCCAGCCCAAGTCTCCTCCCCTGCTGGCAGCTCCAGAACATTCCCTTTGGCCAACAGCCACAGAAATGAGCGCCTGCCAAGACACATGGAGGAGAAGGAAAACAAGACACCGAAAACAAAACAGAAGTCCCCACCGCGGGGAGCAGAGGGACGGACGACGGAACTCCCTGGGGGAAGGACTCGCAGCTCAGGGTCCTGCCGCCTGCACCCACCCTGAGACTCCAGCTCACTGGCCGTTAGTGTCTTTGGGCTTTTTTTTTTTAAGTTTTTTTTTTTCTTTTTTAATACCCAAACCTTCCATTTTCAAAGCTTAAAAAAAGTTCTTACTTAAAAAAAAAATTCTAAAACGGACGAGGCGAGCCCCAGGCCCGGCCTTTCCACCTGGCGGGCTGCTCTCCCACGGGCCGCGCCGCCAACACTGCCCAGCCCGGCACCGGCACCGCGGGGGCCGCTCCGCTCCGGGCTGCGTGGCCGTGAAGGCGGCCGGCATCCCCGCTCAAGGAAGAGCAGAGCAGCCCACCCTTCCCTAAACACCCCCACTGGAGCTGAGCTTTCTGGGGAATGTGTCGGTTATCAGGAGGGAGGGGCGGGAGGCGGAGAGAAATAAATACCAAGAGCTACGGAGGAGCCGTCCTGGGCCTTGGGGCAGAGCGGGCCTCCCGGGAGGAGGCCTGCCGTCCCAACGCAGCGCTGCCGCCTCCCAGACAGATTACAGGTCTCCGGTCTCCCCAGCAGGCGCCCGCCCCGGGGGCCGAGTCTCAGGGGGAGAAAGGGGCCAGCCCCCTCAGGCACTGTCCTGCCGCCCTGGCTCCGCTCACGTCCACGCCCGGGCTCCTGCCCTGGCCGAGAGGCCGGGGTGGCCGTCCCGGGGTTCCTGGGTTCCTGGGCCAGAGGCCCCCTCGGTGGTCCCGGCGCGGGTCAGGCCTGCTCCTTGTCGGCCCTCCACAGCCGCTCCTTCACCTCGGGCGGCAGCGTGCTGAACAGGTCCTCCTCCACCACCAGGCCGCTGCGCTTGAGCAGCGGGCACTCGCCCAGCTCCACGGGCAGGCACTCCAGCCGGTTGCCCCGCAGCTCGATCTGGGTCAGGTTGGTCAGCTCACCCACCCGCGAGGGCAGTGACTGCAGCACGTTGTTGCCCAGGTGCAGGGCCCGCAGCTTCCGGCACTGGAAGAGCTCCGGGGGCAGCGCCTCGATCTAGAGTGGAAGGAGCAGGGGGGAGGTGAGGTGGGCAGGCTCAGGTCTGGGGGCCTCTGGGTCCCGGGCCTCCCTTCCCCCCCACCTCACTCCCACCCTCCCTCCCCAGGCCACAGGCACCTTCTCTGAGGCCCACGTCCGCTCCCTGGGGCCCCAGCACCCGCATAAGCTGGCCCGGAGTCCGGCGTAGTCCCACCAGGACTTTAGGTCTCCGCCGTGCAGTCACCTCCTCAGGAAGCCTCCCCTCACCTCCTGGGTAACCCATGGCACCCACGGGCCCACAGCACCACTGATCTCTCGATGGTGGAATTGCTTTGTCACCTGTCACCTGGGACTGTGGGCTCCGAGAGGGCAGGCCCGGGTCCACCTTGTTCCGCACCTGACGCCCTAGGAAACCCATCACGCTAGCCAGCCACTATCAACCACACCCGCTCCTCTACTGCCCAGGGCTCGCCGGGACCCAGGCTGTCGGTCCTCTCTGGTTTAGGAACAATGTATGGGTGCTGGCTGGTATGGCTCAGTGGATTGAGCACCAGTCTGTGAACCAAAGGGTCGCTGGTTCGATTCCTAGTCAGGGCACATGCCTGGGTTGCAGGCCGGGTTCCCAGTGAGGGGTGTGCAAGAAGCAACCACACATTAATGTTTCTTTCCCTCTCTTTCTCCCTCCTTTCCCCTCTCTCTAAAAATAAATAAATATCATTTTTTTAAGACTTTATTTATTTTTAGAGAGGGAAGGGAGGGAGAAAGAGAGAGAGAGAGAAACTTCAATGTGCGGTTGCTGGGGGCCGTGGCCTGCAACCCAGGCATGTGCCCTGACTGGGAATCAAACCTGTGATGCTTTGGTTTGCAGCCCACGCTCAATCCACTGAGCTACACCAGCCAGGGACTAAATATAATCTTAAAAAAAAAAAAAAAAATTTATGGAAGTAGAGCAGCATGCTGAGAAAATCCCAACCCCTACGTGCTGCCGAGGACTGAGAATCCCGGCTCTGTCACTTCCCCTTCCTGGGGCCTCAGTCTCCTCATCGGTCAGTCACAGACTGTTTGCGAGCGCACGGAGCCCAGCAGTGGCCACTCGGAGTCCCCTTCCGATCTTGCAAAATGGGAATACCGGGCAATGCCCACTGGCAGCTTACTCCACAGGCAGGCTTGTTCTGAGCGCTGAGACGATGAACTCTTTCAACCCTGGGAACTCCCTGTAAATGTTCTGTGACCACCCGTCCCATTCTTCAGATGGGGTCACTGAGGCCCTGCAGAAGCTAACTTGCCGGTGGTGCACAGCTGGAAACGAAGGGCCAAGGGGGAACCTGGTTCCACACACGCCCTGCGCAGTGTCTGCACTGCCGGGGGAACCAGGAGCGAACTGGGGGGGCCGAGGGGGGCCACTGCCTCCCGGCGTGCGGGAAGCGCTCCACGGTGCCAGCTCCGTCCCCGCCCGTCTGCAAGTGTCGGCCGTGAGCTCTCACTGGGCCAGTGTGCCCCGAAACGACCTACTTCAGACGTGATGGGCAGGAGGGATCCCGCCAGCTCTGCGGTGGCTCTGTCACCGTCCCCATTTTCCTGCTGAGGAGGCCGAGGCCCGGAGAAGTGAAAAGGGATGCCACAGAGCCAGACAGAGCCAAGGGGAGCGTGGGCCTGGCCTTCTCGGACTGGGAGCCCGGCAGGGGCCGTCTGCCACATGCGGCGTGGGGGTGGGGGGCCGTGCAGCCCTGGGCAAGGCCCTCCCGCCCCCCCCCCCAACCTCAGTCTGCCCACCTGTGGGACAAAAAGGTTGGACTAGAGAGGCCTCTTGGCTGGGACCTCCTGGCAGACTCGGGCCTCCCTTCTGAGAACCTGCGCCTCCTGCTGTGTCCTGTCCCCGTGACCATCCGCCTACCCAGGCAGCCAGGTGAGAAACCTCGTGTCACTGGAGACAGCTCCCTCCTCCCCACTTCCCACCCAGCCCCCATCCTGAGGGTTCTACCTCCGAAGTCTCCTGGAAATCCGTGTCTCCCCGTCCCTGGCGGCTCTGCCAGTGCAGGCCTGCCCCCGCCCCTGGGGCTGCACACGGGTTTCTGTCAGCTCCCGCCTGCTCCCCGGGCCCCTCCGCCCCCACACTGCAGCCAGAGCAATCTCCACACTGCGGGCCGGCCTGCCCCTCTCTCCACTCAGCCAGCGCGAGTTCGGCGAACCCATGCGCTGAACGAAGAGAGCCAAGGTCCCTGTCTCGAGAGCTTATGGCCTGGTAAGAGGCATGGGCGTGAGATAAACAGAGATTCGGTCACTGACAGGAACCGGGAAGAACAGGATGCTCCTTCCAGCCCTTCGGGGGAAAGTCCAGATTCCAGGGGTGGCTCACCGTGCAGTCACAGCAGGGACAGAACCTACTGGGCTCCGCCTTGCCTCTCACCGGGCTAACTCCCCCTCATCCTGCAGGGCCAGGTGAGATGCCCTTCCTCCGGGAGGCTGGCCGGCCCTGCCTTAAGTCTGGGCTGAGGCCGCTCTGCGCTCCAGGAGCCCCGTGTCCCAGCACAGCTCTTCCCACACCGTGCTTGCCGTCTTTCCCCGCGAGTCAGTGAGCTCGGCATGGGCAGCCGTGGGCATGCTGCCCCTCGTCTGTCCCTGTGCCCCAGCACCTCCACGCTAGGAGGGCCTGAAAGGCATCTGCCGAGTCAATGAGCGAAGGAATGAATGAGTGGACAAAGCATGCCTGCTTTGTCAGGCACTCCTTGGCACGAATTTAAACCTGGGGGAACTCGAGTCCAGGGCCTGGGCTGGGCCATACCGGCCCGGCCTTTTGAACTGCAGGCCAAGGTGGCCCACGGGGAACCATCGGGCCTGAGGATGGAGGGGCCTCCAGCTTAAGAGGACGAGCCAGACGCAGACAGACCCGCGGCAGCTGTTTCCCCTAGAAGGCCGCCGGCATTCCAGGGCGTGGGGACAGGACGTGATTGAGCTGTGCAATGAACAGGGTGTCCGAGGGTCTCCTTCCTGGGGACAGCGTGCCTGCCTGCCGCCAGCTCCTTTCCTGAGGGCTGACCTCAGCCTGCAGTCACGACCTAACAGGCGTGCCTGGGGTGTGCGGCGGGGGGTGGGGGACAGGATGGGGAGCCAGGCTGGCTGCTGGCCGCACCCTCCACAGGGTAGGAGGGCGCGCCAAGCTCCAGTGCCCACACAGCCCCCCGGGCAGCGCAGGCGTCCCTAAGGGTCGTGGGGTGACCACGGCTGACCCAGCTCCAGGGGCAACCTGGCCCCGGGCTGCACTCTGGAGGAGCCCCCTGGTTCCCCACACATATTAGAGAAGGAGCTGGGTTTTGGGGCTCTCCAAATATGGCTTCTCAGCAGCAACCCAATTTTCCTGACCACTGAGCCTGTCCCGGGCCCTGCGGGCGGACTCTCCAGGGCAGGGCAGCCTGGCACCTGACCTCCCCCCTTTTTCATTCCCATAGGCACGCAGAGTCCTAACCTGGGGAGGGAAACGGGATTTGTCATCACCTCTGACGTATGGAGACAGGCTGGTCTGCAGTCAGAGAGGCTTAGGCAAGGGCGGGGAGCTTCTCAGTGGCATGCCCGGGCTCTCCGATCTCAGTAACACAGGAGAAGGCAGGGGCACCTCAGGGTCTGGGGCTGCTGGGACCCTGGGGTTCTGGGAACACCGTATCCTGCACGGGGCTGACACACCGCAAGTGCTCGCTGACCGGCAAGACCACTTTAGGGCACCGCCTTGGACGGAGGCACAGAGGCGGTGGCCGAGCCGGCCCCTCCCTGGATGTCCCACCCCTGGCCACAGAACCCCATCTCCACCCACCTCAGTATAATCTACCCTGAAAGCAGGGGCCCAGAAGAGACCTGTGCTTTCCACTGTCCATCTCGCTACAGGTCCCCGGGGCGGGTAAGCGGGGAGGTCCCCCCGGCGCTGTGGATCCGCTCCTCCCGCAGAGGCCAGACCACGAAACCACAGGGGCACCCTGCCCTCAGCCTCACCCGCCTACCTCTGTGGGGGGCCTCGGGTGGGGGGCTTCCTGGGCCAGGCAGGGGGCTGGTGCGCAGAGGCCACACAGCGCAGGGACTGCCAGCTGTCTCCCGGGTGCGGCCTCCCACACTACGGGCCCCAGACTGTTTGCACAGTGTCCTCCCCAGAGGCAGGTGGGGACAAGCCAGCGCCGACCAAGCCCGGCTCTGCCCGCCGCCGCCCCCAACGCAGAGGGCAGCGCTCGAGGAGTCGTGGAGGCAGTCTGGCTTCCCCTCGGCTGGCCACCCGCCGCCACCACATGACTGCGTTCTTGGTGGACCCAGACTGGAGCTTCAGTCCCTAATCTGGCCCAGGACAATCCCGCTGGCTCCTGAGCACCTCCCCTGACCCCGCTGAGAGACAGAGGGAGAAAATCACAGGCCTTGGGTCTCCTGCCCACGCACACTCCTGCCTACGAGGAACCCACACAAGGGCACCTTGGGGACAGACCCCAGCTGACCACACGGTCCCTCCTGGCAGGCGAACTCCATCGAGTTCCGCGGTGGAGACAGGCTCTCAGCCCCAGACATCTGATTTGGCAGGTCTGGAGTGGGGGCGGGGGAACCTGAAATGTTACACGCTCCTCCCGGGCAGTTCTGGGAAGCGCAGGTGAGGTCCTGAGACACGGGGCCTCCCAAGCACCCCGCCAGGGGCCGCCAGGGGCCACCAGGGGCCAGCCCGCACGCGGAGCCGGGGGAGGGGGTGGGGGCAGCGCGGCCACTCACCCGGTTGGCCGTGACAGCCAGGTTCTGGAGGTTCTGCAGGAGGCCGATGTCGGCGGGGAGGAAGGTCAGGTTATTGTGGCTGAGGTCCAGGTAGCGCAGCTTGCGGCAGTAGAAGAGCTGCGGGGGGATCTTCTCGATCTTGTTGCGGTTCAGGTAGAGGCGCTCGAGGTTGGTGAGGTTGCCGATCTGGATGGGGATGTAGGCGATGTGGTTGTACCACAGCTTAAGGCAGGTGAGGCGGTGCAGGTGCTGGAAGCTGATGATCTCCTCGATGGTCTTGAGGTTGTTGTCCTTGAGGTCGATCTCCTGCAGGTTGTGGAGGCTGAAGATGGAGTGCGGGATGCGCTCCAGGTCGCAGCGGATCAGCTCCAGCTCCGTCAGGTTCACCATCTTCTTGAGGCTGTTGAGGACGATGAGCTTGGTGCCCTCGTTGTTGATGGACAGCTTCTGCAGGTGCACGCCCACGTCCGTGACCACCTGCGGCAGCTTGCTCAGGTTGCTCTTGAGCCGCAGCACCTTGAGGCGCTTGAGCTCGCGCAGGCCGTCGATGACGATGTAGCGGTTGTTCTCGGCGCTCAGGTTGCCCGTCAGGTGCAGCTCCTCCAGCGTCTTCAGGCTGTAGATCCACAGCGGGATCTCCTTGATGTCCGTGAACTTGATGTGCAGGGCCCGCAGGTTCTCGCGCAGGAAGGCCAGGGCGGGCGCCTCGATCTTGGCCGCCGTGTGGTACAGCCACAGCTCCTGCAGGCCGGTGAGCTGGGCGATGCTGGGCGGGATGGTCACGTCCGGGATCAGCTCCAGCTTGAGCACCTCCAGCTCCACCAGGTCGAACACGGTGTCGGGGATGCCGCTGAGCATGAACAGGTGCAGCTCCAGCTTGTCCTGGGCGTTCTTGGTGAGCCGCTGCCGCAGCTTGTCCAGCGTCCACTCGTTGTTGAGGTTCAGCTGCCGCAGCTTGTTCTCGCTCACCTCCGACAGGAAGACGGCGAAGCGCTTCGAGTAGAGCGGGTCGTACTGGTCGATGAGGTGCAGCATGAAGGCGAAGTCGTTCTTGACGTCGGGGATGTCGCTGTAGCTGCTCTCCTCGCGGATGGACTCGAAGGAGTACTTCTTGAGCGAGCGGCGCAGCATCCACCACAGCGTGTACATGCAGATGAGGCCGTAGAAGATGACCAGGCTGATGTAGAAGGACGCCAGGATCTTGAAGAGCGTGGCCAGCGGGTGGGCGCACCGGTAGGTGCGGTAGCCCGTCAGGCTCTCGATGTCCACGGTGCAGTCCACGTCGAACTTGATGTTGTGCACGTAGTAGACAGTGTAGCAGATGATGAGGATGAACTTGATCACCTTGATGATGGTCTGCCGCATGTAGAGGCGGTACACGATGTCGCCCTCCTCCACGTGGGTCCGGAACTTCTTCACCTTCTCAAACAGCGCCTTGGCCTGCTCCCCCTCCTTCTTGTCCAGCACGCCGGTCTCCGAGCGGTCCACGATGCCCTGCTCGATGCGAGACTTGGTCCTCTGCAGCATGGGCACGGTGGCCTCCACGTCCTCGCTGACCGTCGACGACTTCTTGTCCATGGAGCCGTTCATCTTGCTGAAGGCCGGCTTGGGGTCGCTCTCCTCCACCACGGTCTCCGACAGGGCCCGCGTGGTCCACGGCGAGTCGAAGCACTTGAGCAGGATGGACACAAAGTGCTCCAGCTTCGAGCTGGTGCGCGGGAACTTGAACCAGAAGTTGCTGCAGGCCAGGAAGATGAGCGTGTGCAGCAGCACCAGGTAGGGGAAGTACTTGGCAAACCAGTGCAGGCGGTTCTCGTAGCACACGGCGTCCACGTAGTTGTACTGGTGCCGGTCCAAGTCGTACCGGATGCCGGTGGGGCCCGCGTCAGGCATCGGGAGGACAGTCGAGTTGGGGTAGGAGGGCTCCGGGCCGGGGGCCGCCCAGCCCCGGAAGGAGTCGTTGCAGGAGTCCCTGGTGACCCACTTGCAAGGCAGGCAGATCATCTTGTCCTGGGTGACCTGCAGCGTGCCCCCGAAGACTGCGATCATCAGCATGACGATGGAGATGTAGTCGGTGAACACGTCCCACCACGGCTTCAGGATCCGGTACGCCGGCTGCGTGTCCGCGAAGTAGCGGAGCTCTGTCACCGGAATCATGGTTCCACCTGAAAGGGTCCACGTGAGGGGGTTACTGCAGGTGGCCTGGCTTCCTGGGACCCCGGGGTCAGGGGAGGGAGACGACGGGCCTGCCGTCCAAAATCCCACCTCCGGTGAGCCAGGGGTCAGAGCCTGGCCGCTCGAGGGGGGGCCCATGGACTACCCTTTCTCCAGGAGCCACGTGGTCACCGACGGCTGGGAAACCACCATGGGGGTGGGGGGTGAAGGCAGGCAGCCCCCCCCCCATTATACAGCAAGAAGGCTGAGCACTGAGATCAGGACCCGCGCTGACAGATGGCTAATTCGCCCGCACAGGAGCCCCCCTGCATTCCAGCAAGAACATTCTGGAATTCCCGGCTGGATCCCGTCCTCTTACTGATAAGATTGACTAGAGGGTCTTGCTGAAAACCCCCAGTTCCCTCGGAACCGGCTGCCATGAGCCAGCAGCCTGAAGAGATGTCTGCAGAGTACAAGCAAAGCCAGAAAGAGAGAAGGGGGCTTAACATGGACTCACTTCTACAAACCAAACAGGGAAGTGCGGGAACCCCTCTGTGCACGTGTGCAGGGTCCCGGGGGCCCTGAGGGGGCCGGAGGACACACACCCAGCGGGTGCACCCCAAGAAGCGCTCCTGGGGGAGGGGGCACGAGAACTAGAGCGCGCCTCGCCCGAAGTAGGACGACACCATCGCGTACGTGCGTTTATGTAAGGTCCTCTCTGGCGGTGTCCGTCCACGTGAGGATGGAAAGAAATTAGAAGCGGCCGCAGCAGGGCCTCTCCCTGAAGAGTCTGACTCGGCAGGGCTCGGGGAGAGCCGGGAATCTGCTCTGGCAATACGTGACTTCGGGGACACTCACGACTGGCCCAATCTGGGGAACGCGAGACGAGAAGCCACGTTCGGGAAACCCGGCCGGCGGCACACGGGAGGTGCGCGTCACAGCACACGTGGGTAAGGAGCCCCGTCCGCGGCTGCTCTGCCAAGGCACGAGGCTCTTGTAACCAGCAGTGAGGCCGAACCAACGGGAGAAAAAGGTGCTGGGCGCTTGCGGGAGAACGCCTGGGAAAAGTAAACGGTGTAAGGGCAGAAATGAAACCCCCCCGTGAAAAGACCACCCAGGGTTGCCCACTGTTAGCTTTTCTTTCCTTTGAAACTGATTTTAAAGGGGAAGAGGAAGAGAGAGAGAGAGAGAGAGAGAGAGAGAAGCATCGCTTTGTTGTTCTACTTATTTATGCATTCGTTGGTTGCTTCTTATATGAGCCCGGACCAGGGATCAAACCCACAACGTGGGCATATCAGGATGACGCTCTAGCCAACGGAGCTACCTGGCCAGGGCCTGTTACCTTGTCAATGAGTAATAACCTTGTCCTTTCTATGTGTATTTAAAAAAATAAAATTGATCTTATGTTACACCCTAGTTTTAAATCTACACTTTAAAGTTTAAATACCCATTTTTTTTATTTTAGTATTTTATTTATTTTTGGAGAGGGAGAGAAACATCAATGTGTGGTTGCTTCTCACACACCCCCAACTAGGGACCTGGCCCACAACCCAGGCATGTGCCCTGACTGGGAATAGAACTGGCGACCCTTGGGTTTGCAGGCCAGAGCTTAATCCACTGAGCCACACCAGCCAGGGCTAAATACCCGTATTTTAACAAATGGATCTAGCTCTGCATGGTGAACCAAAGGATAGCTGGTTCAATTCCCAGTCAGGACACACGCCTGGGTTGCGGGCCAGGTCCCCAGTAGGGGGCGTGTGAGAGGCAACCACACACTGATGTTTCTCTTCCTCTCTTTCTGCCTCCATTCCCCTCACTCCAAAAATAAATGAATAAAATCTTAAAACAAAAAAACAAAAAAACAAATGGGTCTGTTTCTCTTGGGAGAGGAACCAGGGTGCCCAGCTTAGGGGACGGGGCCACCTTATTCTGACTACTGATAACAGAAATAATGACAACAGTAACGGATGCTTCATAAGACGGGGCCTCCTGTCCTGGGGCATCCTGGGGCGGGTGGGGAGGGCAAAGGGGGATGCACAACAGGACCCCGTGGAGGCATCGGGGCACCGAGAGGGCTGCGTGCCCAAGGCTGAGCGGGCCTTACCACGGCGTCCCTCGTGGGATCCCTTCGGTGTCCGACTGCGGGGCCTTCCTTCAGCCCCACTCCACAGCCGGGGGAACTGGGTCCAGAGAGGTGGAGTCCCTCTTATGACCCACGTCCCCGCCTGGGTCCTTACCGCTGCGTGGCCTTCTCCCCGCCCGCCTGCTCACAGGCCCCTACTCCAGGGGTGCGGAGACGGAGCACAGGAGCGCGGCCTCCCCACCCCCCCTCCGGGTTCCCAGGGTTCGGGTCACCACGAGGCCAGCAGACGCCAGCACTGCCCTGGTGAGGCCGGCAGGCCCAGGCCAGGGGTGCCCGCCCCACACGAGGGGAGGGCCCAGGCCCTCTAACGACCTGCTGGCTCTCACACCACCCACACGCCCGGGAAAGTGGCACTCCAGGGGAGCCTGCTGGACATGCGGCTGGCCTCCGGCCGAGAGACCCCCGAACACTCAAGACACCGGGACAGTCGTCCCTCCCTCCCTGGCTCCCCGAGCCCACACTCAGGGGGGACACGCAGTCACGGGGGAAGGGAAGGAGGGAGGGACCAAGAGGAGAGCGCCCACGACAGCCTGCCCTGGAAAGTCCAGGACGAGTGGGCCGTGGCAGGGCGCCAGGTGTCGGGGGCGGAGGCAGCTCACGACCAGGCAGGATGTGGTTGCAGCCTCACCGTTCCGGAGGGGGAATGGGCGTGTCGGGAGCCCGGAGAACACCCAGCCGCACAGCGGGGCGGTGTCTCTGGGCCCCCGCACCCCGGGCTCTGCGTTCGCGACCTTCCTGACTCCTGGTGCCACGCTGGGGGCCGGTCACAGCTCCGTTCCAGGGTGAGGGAGCCTGAGGCTCAGAGAGGCGGGGAACGGCCCAGGCTGTTCCGTCCCAGCACCCCCGCCTCTCGCCCGCTCACACACACACGCCCAACACCCGGTCTCGAAGCACATCCTGAACCCTGCTCAGTCTTTGGCTCGGGCCTGTGGGGGCGATAAAGGTGACCAAGGCGTGTCCCCCACTTCAGGGGTCTCTCGATCCAGTGTGAGTGTGTGGGAAAGGGTGGGACAGACAGCGGGGCGCCCAGACAACTGGGCCCTGTGTGCGAGGGGGGGCGGCCGTGGCCACAGCAGGAGAGATGGGTGCCAACCCCGTGCCGGGGAGGGCTCGGAGGAGGTGGGCCTTAGACAAGCTCCCCACCGGCTCGCAGCCTGAGGTCCTGCACAAGGGGAGGGACACCGCTCGGGGCCCCTGGGAAGGGACCGTGGGATTCCCTGCGTTTACAGAGCTGAGTGCAGAGCGGGGCGGGCGGTTCCGGCTGGTCTCAGCTCTCTCGGCCTCCTCCTCACCTGGGGGAGCACCAGCAGCTGCTTGGGGACAGGAGTCTTCAGCCACAGTAGGTGCTCAATAAAGTCAGAGGGTCTCGAGAGGGCCCCTGAGGGGGCGACAGGGCCAGAGCGGGTGCAGCAAAGGGCACGGGCTGCGCGGTGTGGGGGGGAGAAGCGGCCTCGGTCCCAGGCGGATCGGGGCTGGCCGGCCAGGCTGCGGGGCGGGGGAGGACCCCAAGGGCCGTGGATCCCTCACAGGCAGGGAGCTCAGGGCAGCCACCTGCCCCGGGAGCTGGGCAACTCCAGGGGACTGAACACCTCCGCACCCACAGTTAGAGCAGCCCCACTCACCTGGACTGGCGGCCGAGGCCGAGGCCAGGAGCTTCCCGAGCCCAGGTGGGGCGCGTGGCTTCGGTGCCCCTTTTTCTCTCAAAAACTTTGTCATAGCGAAATGCACACAACGCAGAATGTACCGCCTTCGGCATTTTTAGGGGCTCGGCCCAGTGGTGTCAAGCGCACCCCCGCTGCCGTGCGACCCCCAACGCCCCCCAGTCCGGAACGCTCGTCATCTCGCAGAGCCGAGACTCCGTCCCCATGTGACACTCACTCCTGTTTCTGCCGCCCCAGCCCCTGGCAACCACCGTCCCACTCTCTGTTTCTGTCAGCGTGACAACTCCAGAGACCTCGTGTCCCTGGAACCGCCCGCTATCTGTCCTCTTGTGTCTGGCGCATTTCACTTAACACGGTGCCCTCGGCTTCATCCACGCCGCGGCGAGCGCCGGCATGCCCTCCCTGCGCAGGCCAAGCAACATCCCTCACGACCACTTCACAGGCAAGGAGACCGGAGCTCAGGGACGGAAGCGACCTGCCAACTCCGCACGCCTGTGCGTGACACCAGATCCCCTCCAGGGGCCCTTCGGATAGGGCAGACCCCACCTGCCAGCCGCCTCCGGGGTGCACGGGGCGCATGGGGCCCTTCCGCCCCCTGCCTGCCTTAGCCCTCCAGAGCCAGCGCCGCCTCCTAGCGGAGCTGTGGGCGCGGCTTCTCTGCCAGAGCCTCGGCTCCCCTGTCTGGAAGAACCTGTCACAGATGGGACCGTGTTTTGTAACAGATGGTCGAGGCACCAAGGGGTGTGTGATCGCAGAACTCCCAGAAACGTAAGAGGAAGACGGTCCAACAGGAGGAGAAACGGCCACATGTATGAACAGACGACTCAAAGGGGGAAAATGCAAGTGGAAATTAATACACGAAGTAATTTAAAGTAGAACGATCAGATGCCACTTCACTCCCCTGCCGTGGGCAGCCATGCTGAACGCCCAGGAACAGGTCAGGGTGCACATGCCCTACAACCCAGCAGTTTCTCTGAGTCACAGACCTGAGAGCGTCACTAGACACGCACACGCACGAAGCCACGGACAGAAACCCTCACTGAAGAGTCGTTCCTAACAGCAAAAACTCTGCTGAACGTCATCAAGGGGAGGGATGGGCTGCTCCAATCACACGATGGAAGAGGAGAGCAGAGACAGCGAATGAACTGCAGGCGCATGGGCAGGCCTCAGAAACGTGCGGAACCACACCCTGGCCGGGTGGCCCAGT